GCACTGGCACAGGCTGCCCAGGGCAGTGGTAGAGTCACCAGCCCAGGAGGTATTCAAAAAACACATAGATGTGGCACCTGGGGACGTGGTTTAGTGGTGGGTTAATGGTTGGACTTGTATGAAAAGTCACACCATGAAAAGCCAGGGTCCATAAAGGAGACAGAGGAGTCCTGGAACTTTATTTGAAGAAAGGCAGAGAGTCCACCAGGGCACACACCCATGGGGCTTCCTCTCCCGAGGTTTCAGAGGGCACAGCCTCCTTTTATCCCCAACTCCCAGCCGCATTTTGCCCTCTTCCTTTCCCCATTGCTGAGGCACTAGGAAGGTACAGCCTTCCCGAACCACCTACCACATCTCTCCCTGTCATTTTACCCCAAAGTTTAGAAACTCAAGCTCGTGCAGACCCACTTGTCTGTTTCAGGAGTTAAAGTTGTCTGGACTCTGTAACAAACTTGCTGCTTGTGATGCCTTGGGAAGGCTGACCTGGAACAGAGCTAAAGAATAAAGTAGGGATTTATTAAAAGGCCTCAATGGATCCACCTTGGGCAGCACAAGAGACCAGCCATGGCTACACCCAAGATAAGCCAAAATGGTCACAAAATGCACAACCTGTCACAGGATCTCTAACTTTTATAAGTCCTGCTCCATTTGCACCTTGGAGTTAATTGTCCAATTACAGCTCCAGCCCATGAAGCCCCACCCTTCTTGTTTTGCTCTCTTCAGTCCATGTTGTTTATGCTCTTGAGCCTGAGATTTGGATCGTTTGTCCTTGGTCCCCAGCTAGAGAAGGAATTGTTTTGTCTCCCTGCTCTGTGCAGAGAGCTTACTACGTGCTAATATGAAGCTCAGAAGTACCCACTAAAGCAGTACAGAATCTGAAAACCACAAAAGCTAAAACCTGAGGCATCACTTGAAGCTGGTAGAGACATTAAGATGCATTTCAAAGATGTTAACACTCATCCCCTCACCCATGGAATTGTTTGTAAAGACATTAGCACACACCTTTCCTATCACAAGGAACCTGTGGCAGCGTCCTGCTGCCCTGGTGATGGTTGAATACCTGCTGGCCCAAGAGAAGCAGGGAATGAATTCCTTGTCCTGTTTTCCTTGCACGCCCTTTCCTTTCCCTGTTAAACTGTCTTTATCTCAACCCATGAGGTCTCTCACTTTTACAGTGCTCTCCCCTCATCCCACTGGGAAGGGGAGAGTGGGCAGTGTGGGGCTGAGTTGCTGGCTGGGTTTAAGCCATAACATGCCCATCTACATAGGGAGGATTTTCCTGTGTCAGTTCAGCAAAGAGCACTGATCCCCATGGGCAGCACACAGGAGGAGCACGGCTCATGGAATAATATAATACAACAATAATATAGAAAGTGGGAGGAGGTGTATTAGTGATGAAGTTTATCTCCTGGTTTAATTTTTTTCTCTTCTTGTTGCTAAGTGATGTCGACTCCAATTTTACCCCAGGGAATCCTACCATGATGGGTTATGGGCACGGCTTTCCAAGAGCTTTAGGCACCCAGCAGGAGATCTCAGCGTCTGGACAGTTATTTTTATTAGCTGACAGGTATTTGAGAGTTGGGCTCTCAGGAAAATAGAAATACAAATTGCAGAATATCACCTGGCACCTGTCAGCCTGAACCATGAATGAGTGATGAAGTTGTAACTTCCCTTACATCTCACCTGTGCAAGAGTCTCATGACTTCAGGCCCAAAAATAACTGGTGCCAGAGCTGTGTACCAGCAGCAATCCCTTGTACACCACACAAATATTTTAACCTGTCTTTTGTAACTACATTTTTGCACGAGTTGAAATGTTACTTAGCATGGGTGCCAAGTTGAGGTACCCAGCATTTTCCCAGCAAGCAATGTCATGAAGAAGAAACACAGTTCCTCTGTTAGCTCAAAATTCAGGCTCTGGCACAAATGTCTCCTGTGCCAGCTGTGCCACATCAGGTCTGTACTCATGCAGGGCCTGTTGCTACATGAACAGAATACAGCTCTTGGCTGTATTTACCCATTCCAGCACAAGCTGCTCTCAGTGAAAAGTGATACACACACCTGGGACATTTTCCTCAACTGGCTTTGTCAGATGATCCACTGGAAACCCAACCACCCACAAGAGAAGGCAGGAACTGATTTACCCAGCGGCTGCCCTGTTGTGAGACCCCTCAGAAGGTGAAGCAGCAGGAGCCCGTCACGGAGGTGTGGAGGGGAGTAGGGGAGGGAAGTAGGAGCAGCTGTAATGTCCAGAGTTTGCACGTTTGAGCCCTGAGTGTCAGTAGAGGATTGGTTTTATCTCTGTCAGGAAGTTTCTGCCCTCCATCTGCCAATTATCACCTCACCCCAACGTCTCTGCCATGGTTTCACCCACGGTTTAACCAGTGCTCACTGCAGCTGGAAGGTGGATTGCTCCCCTGATTGATGCCCCTCCTGATTTTGTGATGGCAGCAGCCCTTGCCTCACCTAAAACTTTACTCTAAGCCAACATGCAGATAGTCATCTGTCCTTCACAGCAAGGTGCAGCTCAACAGCAAAGTGCCTGCATTAAAGCTTTCCTGTCTGTTGGGGGAAACTGCCTCCACAAATCCAGAGGCTCAGGAGGGGTACAGGCTTGATTCATCTCCTGTACAAAGGGATCCTTGGGTTTTGGGGATCATTTTTAGCACTGCCAAACCACAGAGACTTGATGGAAAAGGTATCTGTGTCAGTAGTGCTGCTCCAGCAGGCTTCATGCCTCAGGTGACCTTCCTGGATTACAGCAGCCTGATCCCTTTTTTGGTGGTTTTTAATAGTTCAATGCCGACGGTATGCAGTGCCTGAGGAGAGGTGTCATTCTCACTGCCCGGGCTGTGCTCCACCTGGAGCAGCAGGTGATGCTGGAGGCTCCAGGAGTCCAGGGCTCCATCTCCTGGCCAGTCCCAGCTTGCAGGAATCCACCCACCCCTGGCACAGCTTTGGGCACCACAGTATCAGAAGGATCTAAAGTTACTGGAGAGCAAAGGAGGGACACAAGCATGCTGAAGCATCTCGAGGCAACTAGAGCTGTGTGAGGAGTGGCTGAGGGCACACGGTTTGTTCAGCCTGAAGGAAACTGAGGGCAGAGCTCACCAGGGGCTGCAGCTTCATCCCAAGGGCCAGCTCTGATCTCTGCTCTGTGACCAGGGACTGAGGGAATGGCTGGAGCTGTGCCAGGGGAGGTTTAGGCTGGATACCAGGAAAGGTTCTTCCCCCAGAGGTGCTGGCACTGCCCAGGCTCCCCAGGGAATGGGCACCGCCCCGAGGCTGCCAGAGCTCCAGGAGTGTTTGGACAGTGATCTCAGGGATGCCCAGGGTGGGATTGCTGGGGTGTCTGTGCAGGGACAGGAGCTGGAATCATGATCCTTTTGTGTGCCTTCTGACTCAGGCTATTTAATCATTATAGAGAAGCAGCTGTCTGAAAATGAGCTCTTCTGCTGCTGCTGCTGCTGTGCTTCCCAGGGTCTCACAGCATTGCACCTGGTGACTTTGTTGATTAAACTATTTTCTGAGTGTCTGATATCCCTGTCAGCCCTGCTGAGCCCAGGGATATCTATCTGGGCTCTACCTTGGCTCATGCCTCAGAAGCATAACTGTTCAGAGTTGTGACAGTGAACTCACACTTTTCAACAAGATTCAGGGCAGGAAGGGGTCAGCCTGTTTGCCAAATCGGCTGTAAAGTCTACAGAGAGAGAAAAAAATTCTTTGTCTGTGTCAAAAGTGCAAATTACAATTGGAAAATTTTTGAGTTTCTGAATGTGGAAACTCACGATGTGTGATGACTTATCTGATTTTTTTGTAACATTTTATATGGGGTTTTAAAGTCCTGTCTCGATGAATCACCTGAAATTCTCAACTTCTCTTTTTAAAAGTCTGTGGTCACATCGCTGCAGAGAATCACGAACACCTCAACCTCAAGGTTCAGCCACTGAAGGCAAAGAACGACTTCTTTCCTATTTTCTAACTTTTTGCTAACTTTCATTCTGCTGTGCAAGGGGGAGGGCTGGACTCCTGCTCCTCAGCTGCCTGAACAGACAGTGCCGAGTGCCAGCTACGGGCTCGTCTGTAGAACTGCAGTGCTCCGCAGCGAGAGCTGATCCTGACGGGATCCAGCAGCACCCGGAGTCCGCGCTACCAACCCGGCAGCTCCCACAGCCGCAGCGAGGCAGATTCCCCATTAAAAAAAAAAAAAAAAAAAAAAAAAAAAAATCTATTTTATCTATTTTCTGCCGATGCAAAGCACGGGCGGCAGCAGCGGCTTGCCGTGAGCGGGCCGAAGGGGGGAAGGTGGTTCTGCCGCGGTCCCGGGAAGCGGGCCGGCACCGGCACCGGGATGGGCCCGCTCCCCCCTCCAGCTGCGGGGCCTGTGCGGAGCCGGGGCTGTGTGCTCGGGGCGCTTCACTGCCGAGCCTGAGGGAACAAATCCCGACTGTTCCTGGCCCCAGGAGAGGCCGGGTACCTCGGCCTGTGGGACGGGCCCGCCCAAGCCCCCTCAGAGGGGGTAGGAAAGAGACGGAAGCGCCGAAGGCAGCGGAGGGAAAAGCAGTTTCCCCGTTCCCAGCGGGGCATCCCCGGCACCGTCCCGCCCGCGCCGGGCAAGCACAGCGAGCACGGGGACCCCGCCTCCCCGCCACCCTCCGCGCCCGGCGGAGCGCGGCCCCGGCGCCGCCGGAACGCCTCAGGCCCGAGGCCGCTCCCGCCTCCGCCGCGCCCCGCCCGCAGGTCCTGGCAGGGCCGTAGGAGCGCGGGGCCGGCGGCAGCGGCGGCGGGGCCGCGGACAGGCTGATGCTGCCCGCGGGCTGCGGCCCAGGGTGAGGGGCAGGGGGCCAGGCTGATGCTGCCCGCGGGCTGCGGCCCAAGGTGAGGGGCAGGGGGCCAGGCTGATGCTGCCCGCGGGCTGCGGCCCAAGGTGAGGGGCAGGGGGCCAGGCTGATGCTGCCAGCGGGCTGCGGCCCAAGGTGAGGGGCAGGGGGCCAAGCTGATGCTGCCCGCGGGCTGCGGCCCGAGGTGAGGGGCAGGGGCCAGGGCTCCGCGGGCCGGGCCGGGTGCCGCGGGGTGCTGACCGCGCTGGGCCTTGCAGGGCGGCGGCGGCGCTGAGGGCGGCGCTGGGCGAGGGCGCGGAGCGGCGGCGGGAGCTGGAGCGGCGGGCGGCGCGGAGCCGGGCGCTCCTGCGGCGCTGGTGAGTGCCCAGCCCGGGCGGGTGGCGGCCCGCCCGGCGCCCTCCTCCCGGGTTCTCCGTCCCCGGCGGCCCGGCGGCAGGAAGGAGGCCCGGGCGCTGCTCCTGCAGACGTGTCTGCGGCCCCGCGGGCCGGGGGTGCTGGTCCTGGTCCTGTCCCGGTGCAGCAACGCTGGCTCCGTCGCTGTTTGTTCCCCCCAGGGATGATGAGGAAGAGGAGCGGCCACAGCCACAATCAGGCTCCAGTACTGAGCATGGTGAGTGCTTCCCCCGGTGCTCCCTCATGTCCCACCGGCCCCGGGCCTGTTGTGGTGTTAGGAGTCATTCCAATGCTCTGTAACCACCTAAATACCCTCTCTGCCTTTTTCCTCCCTCTCTCCTCCTTGGAGTTAGCTTTGAGTCGTGTCTTGTTAGCCGGCAATAAAGTGACTGCGGGCCTGACCCAAAAGTGGGAATGTCCCTTGTTGAGGTTGGCTTGAGAACTGTCCTCTTGTGGATCGCATCCTACCTGCATCCTCTGCGCAGTGGCTGTTCTCACATCTAAAAAACTACCCCCTGCAACAGTCATTAGGTTTCGTTTCCTTCTGTGCCACCTGGAATAGCAAGTTAGTGAAGAGTCAAATGACAAACATCCAGGTTTGAGCCTTCTGACATGTTTTGTCTTCTTGCAGAAGACAGACCTTCACCCAAGGAGCTAGAGGAGCTGGAACTGCTGAACAGGGCCTTAGAGAAGGCACTGACGGTCAGGAAAAGCATCTTGAAAACTCCATTAGAGACTCGGGGAGCTACAGGACACAAATGGGCAGGTGAAGCGCATGCTCCCAAGAAAGCTGAAGAACAGCAGGTACCTGTATCTGTTGAGGATGTTCCTGAGTGCAGGAATGTGAAAGCTGGAAGCAAAAAGCCTTTGTTGTTGAAGAAGCCCTCTCCATACCAGTTAAGAGCCCCTTACAGGACTGACCCAGATGTGAAGAAACTGCAAAGGAAAGTCCCAGCCGGATGTGTTTCTCAAGGCCCCAGGACAGCTGGGAAGATTTCCTCAAAAGGGATGACTTCCAAACAAGGAAGGAGTCACAGGACAGCAGCTGGTGCCAGTGGCAGAGAAGTCTGTGCAGCAGCTGAACCCCAGGAGACACCTGGCTTGTCTGAATCTGCCCCAAATGAGCAGCAAAGCTTTTCTGGAGGGGATTCAGCTGCAGGAAAGAATTCCATGGCTGCTGGCAAGCAGTTACTTGATGCAGGGAAGAAAAGTTCTGGTTTCCTAGCAGAGTCCAGCAAAAAGGAGGACACTGCATGTGCATGGGGAAGGAGCATCACACCAGGGACAGGCACCCTGCAGGAAAAGGGGTAAGTGTGGGAGGTGGGCACCTCTCGTGTTCTGCTTCATACTCACAGGCATGTGTGCAGATCCTGGTGGCTGTAGCTGCTCTGGGGGTCCCAGCCTAGCTTCATCCTCCTCACAGTTTAAAAGCCTTTATTGTGGTTGAGTAAGTGTTTTCATTTTAAGGGCTTATTCTTGGATGGCTGGGACTTTGAAAGCCTTTCAATTAAGACTTTTGATGTTTCACAGTCCCCTGTGAGTGTTTTGGAAAGCTGTCTCTGTAGAGCTTTCTTAAGCCTTAGCTTTCCTCTGAGTGTACTCTCTATTATAGCATATTGATTTTTTTTTAAATTCTGTTTTTTACACAGTGATAATACATAATGCATGAATCTTTTCTCTCTCTAAACCATGTGCCCAGTGCTGTTTGAAGTGATGTCATCCCTGTTAACCTGTAACGTACTGCCCATGTAACTACACAAATCAGGACTGGCTAGAGTGCAGTTGTTTCAAGGGTTTGGTGCAGGAAGGATTATGAAGGGGATGTTTGGATTTCAGGAGAATCTCCACAGAGATTCTCTGTGGAAAAGTGCCAAAATAATACTTGGAAGACTGGCTTTGCATTCATGCAAGTCTATCTTGTTTAAGTAATTTCTTCCTCTTTTGCTTTAACAAAACTCTGAAGCTCAATCTGCATCTGGAAAGTTTTGAGGAATATTTCTCTCAGCTGCCGCAGCCTAACTCTTGTGTTTGTGCAGGGAGGAAATGATCCCTTTTCACTGGCATTGGAAGGGCCCCGGGACACTTTAGTGATAGTTGCTGTAGGAACAGGGATCTGGATTCAAACATTTACTTAAATTCCCAGCTGTGGCCTTGCATTCCAAGTCTGCATGTGACTAACAACTGCCAACCCTTCTGTTTTTCTAGTAACAGTTTAGGGCTTATTCTGCTTCAGGAGTAAGAATCATAATCCCAGTGGAAGCTGGAATGTCCCTTTCCTATTTCTTTGAGTGTGATATGGTGCTAAGCAAAGCTGCCTCGTCCAGCTAAGGTAGGGCAAGGGGTATGGCAGACCAGTTTCCCTGGAGGTGTTGTTTCCATGTCTGTGCCATGGCTTTGCTCCCAGCTGCCACCCTGGATGAACCTCTGATTGGTCCAGGATGCAGGAGCTCTCCCAGCTCAGCTCCATGATGCCTGTGGAGTCAAATGAGCAACTTAATCTTCCTTCCTTGAGGACAGTCTGAAGCCAGTGGTGGATCCAATCTCCAGAGTTACTGACATCTCCCATTGCAGCTAAATTAATTTCAGATTTTGACAAAGCACCATTTCCCTGTTGGAAGACATGGCTCAGTTAATTGCTTTCCAGCTGCCAGGATTGATCCTTCTCCTGTTTCACAGGTGCCAGCTGAAGCTCCCCCTTCCCTACAGGAAAGCCTATTCCAGGAACTCCAGGTAAGACCAGTCTGACAAGTTAAGTCCAGAGTTACCCCCAGCTTCAGGGCTGTGAGGAGGGGTCAGGTGTGGCTGCTCTGGGTGCCCCGGGAGGCAGTGACCCCACAGGGCATGGGGCCTGAACTGGGAGCAGGAAGATCTCCCATACTGCAAGGCTGCTGCTGAGGATGTGTTCTGTTACTGTTGCCAGTGGTGCTACTTTTGTTTTCTGAGTGCTAATTACTGTCGATCACTGAGTCATGAAGTTCCTGGAATGCTTTAACCTTGAGTTTAAGGATGCAGCAGAAGTCTCTGGTGGTGCCACACACCTGTTGAAGTAGGACACCCCGTGGGATGGGAGAGTTTCCCAAACCATCCCCGCCCTGCCTTTGCAGCCTGGAAGTGCCACAACTGTGTGTGTGTGTGAGGCTGGCTCCTGCTGCTGAACTCTTACACTAAACCACTTACACTAAACCTCTTACACTAAACCAGCTACAGGGATGCTGCAGGTGGTTGGGGCTTGCCTGCTTTAGTCCACTCTCCAGTCTTCTGGAGGAGTTTCCCATATTTCCTCTGAGAGATCTTGCCGTAATTCACCAGATTGCTCATTATGTGCTTTGTTCAAATATTAAGCATAAACTCTTTTTTAAATCTAATTGTAGCCCCTTGTGCTGCCCTCAAGAATTCCTCCTCCTCTTGGAAACTGTCATTTATCAGACACCAGTTTGTTAGTTGCCCTTCTGCAAGTTGTAAAGACTTTATACCCTTAATTTTCTCTTCTAAATTGAGCCTTTTAGCATTCTAATCACTTTGGTGTAATTTTATGCTTCTCACTATTGCTTTCAACTCAGTAACAGATTGAGAATAACCTTTGCACTAAAGATCCCTCGTAGAGGGTTTGCATCTTGCCTGGGAATTTTTATTCTTTCCTGTTCCATTAACCTTGCCACTTCTTTGCATAATGTATTTCTGAGATCTGCAGATTCTAACATGATTTAAAAGACTCATTAGGCTACAGAGAAGACACATGCACACTCGAGCTAGGCAGGCACTGCAGAACTATTTTAAGCTTCCTCCTGATGGCTCTCGCTTACTGCAGCAGGTTTTGGGAGACAGTCCTTGAGGAATGGATATCATGGGGACTGTGAATCCATGAGGATGTTGAATTCTGTGAGAGAAGTGCATCTCTCCAGTAGTGCTGTTATTTGTGCAGTGCTTTATCAAAAAACTGGTGGGCTCTGGTGTGAAGTCTTGGCCAGCTTCCTCGTGATACTGTCCTTAAACCTCTGCCTTGCATCCCTGACATGCTGCTGTCATTCTGCTTGCCAAACATACCACTTTGTCCCCCCCAAAAAAATTATTAAAGAAGAAACTCAAGGAAGTTTGGAATATGAAGTAGTTGGATGAGAGTTTGTCCTGTCTGCTCATTTTTTTTTGTACATGTATACTAACAGAACAAATGCAGATAAATGCAAATTACTTACTCCTAAGAAAGGAAGAGAAGATTTGTTGTTTCCCATGGGGTATAAACACAGGCAGGACAATCCAACAGAATGAAGGATGTGCTGCGAGTTCACATTCTGCTTATGAAAATGTGCTGTCTGTGTTCTGACCCTTCCCCTCAAAACAAGAGGAGAGAGTAACAGGTGCTTTGCAGTGTCTGATGCTTTCTGCAGGGTGTCCTTGTTGACCTGATAGCAGCCGTGGGAATGAGTTGGGAATGGCTGGTAAATAACCTGTGAAGAGAGGGGAGTGGGGAGACACTTGTAATTAAAGCACTGCTATGCCACACTGGTGTGTCACAGCTCAGCGTGAGCACTGTCTGGTACAAAGGGGCATAACTTCCACCTCCTGCCTCTTTGGAATTTCAGGGCATGGGAGAGATGTCGCCTGTGCCAGACAAGTGCAGATGCAGCAGCTGCAAGGACCCGTTTTATGGAGAGAATCCAGACAACTGTATCCTTTCCTAGCAGGCACAGGGTGCAATTGCTCTGCAGTGAGCTCCAGGCTGGAGAGAGTTATGCCCCAAATAACAGCAGTTCCACTTGGGTCTCTGAGCAGTGGGTTTTTTCACAGTAGAGCTGTTGAGCACTTACAAAACTTCTGATCCAGCCAAATGTGGTCACAAGGCAAGCATGCCCTACACAGCTGTGCTGTGCTGTCCTCACCTTCCCCCTGCAGTGCCACTGCCCTCTGCCCTGATTCCAGCTGGCCTGGGGCTCAGGATTCTGTGGAACCTTCCTTAAGCTGCTGCTGTTTGAGTTTTGCTCCCTGAAGCTGACTCCCAGTCCTGCAGAGATAGAGGAGGAATTAAGGGGCCTCCAGGATGTCCCCTCCCGTCTCAGGCAGTACGTGGAAGCTGAGCCTGCAGGTAAGGAGGGGAAAAGGGCATTGGGAGGGCAGAAGGCAGAATAAGGGTGATTTGGGCTCCAGTTCTATGTGTTTTGTGTTCTTGGCATGTGCTGGACACAAGGGATAGTGTCACTTGCACCAAGAATGACGCAAGAACAGATGAGAGATGCAGCGTAAAAAGGAAGAAAAGAAGGTTTTAATGGAAAGGAAGCTTTGGCTTAAGTAGGCCGATACAATACCTTCTATTTGATTGGTTAGTTAATAACATCTTCCTCACACACCGTCCTTGAGAGGAACAGAAAAGCAAGGCAGAAAAAGACCACCTGCAGATTGTTTAGACTAACAACTGATCACATTCCTACAACTCCCTAAAAATTCTCACAAGCCACTGTGAGAAACAATTTCAGTTTCTCTCTCCCTGACCAGGCCGGCATCCGCAGCACAGGAACACTCTCTACCTGAAATGAAGGCTGGTGAACTCGAGGCCACTCTAGAAGTTGTTTGGAGAGGAAGGTTCCAGTGTTCACACCTTTTCTCTGCTTTTGTTGTAGACCCTTCCACTCTGCAAGAAGAGTATGAAAGCCTTCTGACCTTGGAGGGTGTGCAAACCACAGTGTCCCAGTGCCTGCAGAAGCTGCAGCTGCTGCAAGAAGGTGAGACAGTCCCTGTGTTTGTGGTCAGGCGTGGACGTGGCCCTTTGCCCCCTGTATGCAGGACACTGGACCAGGGTCATTTTTCTCCTGATTATGGTAATGGAGCACTTAATTTTTTGGTGGTGAACAAATCTGTGGTACCTGTGTGCCACCCCTCTGTGTTCAGGAGAGACTTGGAGCTTTGAACTGCAGTTGCAGTTCAAGAGGGCTGGGGAAGGGACAATGCAGACCACAGCTTAGGGTGTCCTGATTGTGCCATGTGTGAGGAACTTATCTGATTACAGTCTCTTTAGTCATTAGTTTCTGGGAACAGTAAGTAGATCATAAAGTCTGCAAGTACAGATTTAAGTTGTATGTTTTTGTCCCCTGCCTTTTCTTGTACCCTGGCAGCTCTGGAGTCCCAGCTGAGGCTGCACCCAGACTGCACTGGGGATGTGGGGAGCTGCTGTCCAGCCTGTGTCCCTGTTAGGGGACAGATGTGTGACAGTGCAGACATGCTGGCTGTGCCTCTCCTCTGTTACTCCAGTCTCCAGGAGCTCAGGGACCTGTTTGCCTTGAAGCTGCAAGTGTCAATGCTGCACCAAGAGATTGCCTTACAAAAGGTGAGTCTGGAGAAGTGTCAGTGCTCCCAGAGCAGGGAAGGAGAAGGACAACTGTGGGGCAGCAGCTGCTGTACCAGGTGTTGATGGGCAGCAGCAGCATGGCAAGTTCCTCCAGTGTTACTCCAGATGTTTCTGTGTTTGTGCTTGTTTGCTTTGTTGGTGAATGGGACTTCATTCTTGTTAGGGCCAGAGCAGAGGCTCTTACATGCCTGACACTCTCCTGATAAGATTTTATTTCCCTATTCTGAAAGAATTTGACAGTGGAGAATGTTGTTGGTAATGCCCCTTTTGTCAGGCCTTTACAGCCCTATTAGGGCACCCACTCCCTCATTCCCTTCTGTGTGACTTCCAGCTGGTGAACTCCTCTGTTCTCTGTTGCTTTCCTTTCAAATCTCAAACCACTGTTCTGCTAATCTTGCTTTTACCATTCTGAGAACTGGGTAGGAGGTGTCAGCTTCTTCAGCAGCCTGAGCAGAGAGTTTGCCACACAGGGATTAGTTGTTCTTCTCAGCCAGCAGCAAAGGGCAGAGAAGATATGTGAATCAAATCTACTCCTTTGACCTATTCTTTGCCATTGACCTGAGTGATAGAGGCTCTGGAAAAGTAATTTTTTTTGTAAGCCAGAGAGGCATTATTAATAACTGTCTGCAGCCCTGTGACTGAAGACAGATTTCTACCTGACTTTAAATGGGATTTCAGCGCTATAATCCTGAATTATGGATTATGAAGGGTTTGGGGTTTTTTTTGCCTGCCCAAAATAAAGTGGTGACCAAAGCCTGATTCCTGCTTCTCTGATGGTTGACTCATTTCTTCTGCACATGTACCCAAATAGATACTTTGTGCCATGTGAGCCCTGAGGGTCTGAAGCAGCTCTGTGTAGAGTGTGCAGGATAAGTGAAATTCTTGGGACAGGTGAAGTAAGTGGGCATGGAACAAGATAAATACCCCAGAAAAGGATGTACCTGTTTCCAGGCCAAGCCTGTCCACTCCCTTTCCATGGAGGAATGCCAAGTATCATAGAAATTCCTGGTAGCTCTTAGGCTGTCTTTGATGGTGAAGATCTGTTTCTTTTTAGTTGTCAGGAGCAGAGCAGGGGGATGGAAGTGGAGCAGTGCATCACTCCTTCATGTGCCAACTTTCCCCTTAGGAAGCTTTCATGTCTGTAGAACGGGACTTCCCAGAGATGAACAGTTGTGTCCTGCTCCCTTGTACCTGCACAGAAATTTGTGTAGAGCAGGAGAGGGAGCCTCCTGCAGATACCCTGTACTCTATTCTGTTTGGGTCTTCCTCCGAATCCACCAGGGAACAATCATGGAATCACAGAATAACTTGAGTTGGAAGAGACGCAGCTCCTGACCCTGCATAGACAGCCCAAGAATCCCACACCCTGCCTGAGACCATTGTCCCAACACTGCTGGAGCTGTGGCAGCCTTTAGGGAGGTGGCTGATACATGCAGTTGTCCTGTCTCCTGGGCAGGCAGTGTGCAGCAGGCTGGGTGGGTTTTAGTGTGCAGGCTGCTCAGACTTCATAACCTCTTACCAGATGAAAAAAGAAAAAAACAAAAATCCCAGGCAAAACTGTGTCTGAGCATTAATTCAAGAGTAGGGCAACAAAGACCAATTTTTGTCGAGTGATTGAAGTGATCTGTGCTTGAGTTGTCAGTCAGTCCTAATCCCAGAGCTGATACTGATGCTGCCCTGGTTTGACAGCATGGGCTGAGATCCCAACACAGGCTTAACGAAGCAGCAGCCAGGCCAGGGAATGTTGGACAGCCTGAGCAGTCCCTGTAGCCTGTTTGGGCTGGAGTTGGCCACTTACACCTCTGGCATAAGTGGGAGGTGATGGTAAAGTCCTGAGTGAGGGGTTGGACTTTACCCTTGGGTGAGTGAGCACTTCACCGTGTGCCTGCAGAGCTCCTGAACCAGCACCAGCTCCAGTTTCTTGCAGGATGCTGATCTCGTCCCAGTGCTGGGTCTTCCCTGCAGCAGGGCAGCTGCACTGCCACTTGACTCTGCTCTGGAAATGCTGGGTGGCTGCCTAGGTAGCTCATGAGCAGAAAATGAACCACTCTGCCTTTATTAAATATGACAAAAGAAAGTATCCATCAATCAATTAGCTTGTTATTAGTCATACTGCTCTGATTAGATTTCACTTGTTATGCAGCCACTAGAAGGAATACTGGAGTGCTGCTGGATCTGGTGACAGTGTCTCCTTTGCTTCTGCCTAGGTGATGATGGCAGAGCTGCTGCCTGTCCTGGAGGCCAGGCCATTGCTGGAGGGCTCTGCAGGGCTGTTCCGGGCCATCCAAAGCCAGCTCTGTGAGGGGGGCCGGCGCTTCCCTGTGCTGGTGAGAGACGAGCTGCTGGACTGAGCTGGGGAGCCTCCTGCTAGTCCTTCACAGAGCCAAAGACAGCTGCAAACAATAAATCTTTTCTAGGAACTTCTTTACTCTGCCTGTGTATTCAGCTAAACTCCAGGGGGTTGTTTCTGTTATGGGCTTTTTTTACTGTTTTTTTGTTTTAAACTTCTTTTGTATCAGGCGGACTGGAGCCCCTCTGCTCTGGGTCAGGCTGGGAGAGCTGGGGGTGCTCACCTGGAGAGGAGAAGGCTCCAGGGAGAGCTCAGAGCCCCTGCCAGGGCCTAAAGGGGCTCCAGGAGAGCTGGAGAGGGACTGGGGACAAGGGATGGAGGGACAGGACACAGGGAATGGCTCCCACTGCCAGAGGGCAGGGATGGATGGGATATTGGGAAGGAATTGTTCCCTGTGAGGGTGGGCAGCCCTGGCACAGGTGCCCAGAGCAGCTGTGGCTGCCCCTGGATCCCTGGAAGTGCCCAAGGCCAGGCTGGATATGGAGCAGCTGGGACAGTGGAAGGTGTCCCTGGACATGGCAGGGGCTGGAATGAGGTGAGTTTTAAAGTCCCTTCCCACCCAAACCAATCTGTGTTTCTATGGCTGTATATCACTTACCTGACCTGTTAACTGAGCCCCCTCAGGGCTTCAGAGACTCTGATTTTGGCTTTTCTTCCCAGGCTGTCTCTACCAAGCTCAGGACAGCAGGCTGCTGGATGCAGACAGTGTAGCAGGGAGTAAAACATGGTTAATACTGCTCAGCCATAGGATCACGGGTCACGGCTTTCAGCAGCCAGAGATCCCAAAAGCCGAAGCTGCTGCTGCTGCTGCTGCTGCCTGCTTCACCGCTGGCACGGGGGTGTCATGTATCAGTGACAGACCGACTGGCTTTGGTGCCAGCAGGGAGCCGGGGGCGAGCGGGGCCTGCGCTGCTGCCGTGTCCCGGTACCGGGCGGGTCCCGCTCCTCCGGGCCGTGTCCCGGTACCGGGCGGGTCCCGCTCCCGCCGGGGCACCCGCGGCTGTCCGGCCCGGCCCCAGACCCTCCCGCAGCGGTTCCCACCTTGCCACCTTGCTGGCTGCCGTTTCTCCGTCGTTTTTGCGTGTAATCTCCAAATTCCCCGGTGTTCCAGTGACAGATAAAGCTTTGGAGTGAAGTAGAAAACCTCTGCTTCTGAGTACTTTCAGTTTCACTCAGGAAGCGTACCCACGGCCTGGTACAGTTTGACCCAGACCATATCTCAAAGCTGGACTCTGCTTGCTTGTGTGTGTGTAATTTAGCTCTTAGCAATGCAAAGACATTCATTAGTTTTCCTTATCTTTTTTTTCAAGGCCCGGTTGCTGCCTGGCTCTTCTGAATGTCTGGCTCTTTCTGACTCAAAATTCAATAAAAATCATTCATATGATAGGTAAAAATTAGCATCTCTGCCTTTCCCTTAGTATTTTTGTCATAGAATCCCAGAATGGGTTGGGTTGGAAGGGGCCTCATCTCATCCCACCCCCTGCCATGGGCTGGACACATTCCACTAGACCAGGTTGCTCCAAGTCTCGTTCAGCCTGGCCTTGAACGCTCCAAGGGAGCAGACACTGCCTCCTAAATTAGCGTGGTCATACACATGAACATGTCCCTCTTTGAATGGAGAGCTGACGTTTGGTGTTGTTAATTAGGGTGCTGTTATGGATAACTTGCATCTGCAAGCACTGCATGAGTCATGGAGCATCTGCTGCTCATCACAGAGCAGACCAGTGTAAATTGGCAGCAACTTCAGCAGCACAGCAAGGATTGCAGACGTGGGAAAGGGCTGGGAAAAGGAGGCAGCCCACAAGAGAGGGTTCAAAGGGGTTGTTGCAAACTCAGAAGGCAAGCTGACCCTGTAGGAGTTGTGCAGAAGGGGTGCAGAATATCAGGTAGCTGGGTCGTTCTCTGCCTCTGGCTGCACTGTGGTTTTGTTTCTCTTCCTACACCACATTTTAAAATTTCAGAAATGTGTAAGACTTTAAATAATTTGAATTACTCATTCTTTCAAACCAGTCTTGTGCTGTAGGAGAGACAGATTCAATAGCAGTTGAACTCAGGGGCTGGGGGGCTTTGTTATAGAATGTGCCATTGTTATTAGAAGAAAGTACATCCAGCTGAAATGAAGAAACAAAGACATAAGGTACTGTAAGTGTTTGATGCCAGGGGATAGAATTACAGAAATACAGGAAATGAGCAGTATTTTTGGAAGTGATAGATGATCCCAGTGTTGTATAGACATGAGCTGAGAAAGCATAGTGATGGCCAGGCAGGATTAGCAGGTCTTATTCCTTCTCTGTCCCCTGCAGTGGTTTTCCCTACTGAAGGATGGGATCCTGAGGAGGAGGAGGCAGGATTTTTTCTTTCAAGAATCTGTGACTTTAAGTATTTCCAACTGCTATGGTTTCTCTTTTTCCTTGGCTCTCTCCTGTCCTTCCTCTCTACAACTACTTTATGGGCTGAGTTTGTTTTGTAAATGTGTTTGGCCAGTGGAGGTATGGCAGCAGTGCTGCTGTTAGTGCACACTGCAAACAGCAGAGCCTCTTGGAGGGTTTCACATGCACCAGTTGTCTTTGGTTGGCATTAGAGAATAATAGAATCACAGACTGATTTGGCTTGGAAGGGGTCTTAAAGATCATTTAGTTCCACCCCTGCCACAGGCAGGGACACTTCCTACTATCCCAGGTTGCTCCAAACCCCATCCAACCTGGCCTTGGACACTGCCAGGGCTCCAGGGGCATCCCCAGCCCCAGCTGTGCTTAGTTCTGAAGCTCTGTTGAGCCCTCCAAGGGGTTTATCCTGCACGTGTTACCAGATCTGTCACCAAGTGCTGCTGAAGCCCCTCCTCGGGAGGTGCCACATGGAGAGACTCAACTCTGGAGCTTTAGGGGTGCTCCCCATCTAAAACAGAAATAACATTAGTCTTGGTAAGAGGGATGACACCAGCAGTGGTGTGGAGGAATGTCCTGCCTCTTCTAGTCCTTCTGAGGGGTTTGGCAGCATGTGAGTGGTGACAGAGCGTGCCAGCCTGTGCCCTGCTGCTGTGACTGTCCATGGCACACTCCCACCCCTGGGAAAAGGGCAGGAGGAGCTCCCTGGGCCAGGAGCACATGTTGGGGTTTGCAGAGGCAAACCCTGATGAGCCGTGTGAGGCATAAGAGAATTAAATCAAAGAGCAGTTTAAGATGGTAAATGTTGAAGTGGGAGGAAAACTCCCAGCCCCCTCTGAAGATGACAAATTTGCTGTTGATGTTCTTCTCTAAATGAGCTTTCTGTGCACTCCAGAGAGCAGGTTATGTGGTAAGATAGGGACAGGCGAAGCGGAAGATTACCGGAATGTCACGGAAAGATAGGCCCCTTCCCCCCTCTCTCTCCCCTGCTTATCTAGTTAACCCCAAGAATCCCAGAAGAATGTAGCCACACCTGTTCTGGTAAATTTCCACTACCCACTGTCCCTGAAACCCCCAGCCCCCCTCTGACGTAGCAAAGACCCCTAAACCTATTTAAACCCATGAGATAAGATAATAAACGCTTTCGACCGTCCACCAAATTGGTGCCAGCGTGTGTCGTTAGTCCGAGTAGCCCGGGCGAAGCCGGGCTGCCGTGCTGTCTTCTTGTAACCAGGTCGCCGTTGTCTTTTATAAAGGCAACATCTGGTGCCGAAACCCGGGACAAAATTCGCCCGGTGGACGGGTTTCACCTGGACAAAAGCAGCGGCCAGGACGGTGGAACCGTACCCAGGCGTAGGGGAGACGTCCCCGGACCCGCGAGCGTCATGGACAGCGTCGCCTGGGTCGTAAGTATGAGGCAATGGAATATCGCATTTAAGCTCAGGGACTTTTATCTTGCTATAGCAAGGCTGCCTGGGCTTGGAGCAGCCGAATGCTCAGTGGATGCCATGCATCCGGGGATATGGGAACAGTATACAGCCACGCTAGCCAGAGAGGCAAAATCCTCAGGCGAAAGCGTTACGGCACGGAGCAAGGTAAAAAAAACCCCGCGCAAAGCAATAGAAAAGCAAGAGACGCGGAGCGCAGCACATATGTGTTTATTAGTCAAACCCGAGCTCGGGGGGGGGGCGAAAGCGCAGACCGTCCCTGAGGAAAGCCCACCCGGGACCGGAGACCCGAGAAAGCCCAGCGCGACAGCCCCTTCCCCGGATCGGAGCCCGGCCCGGCCCCGCCGGGGAGCGGAGCCCAGCCCGGCACAGAAGACCGTTCCCGCCGGAGCCCGGGGCGGCGCGTTCCGGGCGCCGCGGCCCCGCTTCCGCCGGAGCGCGCTCCGAGCGCCGCGGCCCCGCTCCCGCCGCAAATCGGACCCACCCGCGGCTCCGCGCCGCTTCCCCGCCGGCGTGCCGAGCGGAGCAGCGCCGAGCCCCGCCGCGGGGGCCCCCCGAGACGCCCCCGCCGCGGAAGACCCCCGGGAAACCCCCGCCGCAAAAAAGCCCCAAAAAGCCGCGGCTTGCCAACACGTCCCGCCGCCGCCGCCGGTCAGAGATCCGCGGTCAAAGGCGCAGCCACGCGCGAGGCGCTCTTGGCGAGAGCCGGCGGGAGAGACCGGAGTCGCGAGGGCCGCGGCTCGGGGAGAATCCCCGGCCGCGCGGCCATGCGGCCGTTTTGAAAATGGCGCCGGGTGCCGCGGAGGGGGGCGGAACCCGGGCGGTCCCGGCGCGAAAACTCGGACACCGCGCGATCTCAGAAACGCGCGCGCGCGGGAGAAAGGGGCGGAGAGCGGCTCGGAGCACAGAGCCAATCAGCAGCCGCGCCAAGCGCCGCCACCATATAAGGCAAAAACCACCCCCCGCAGGGGGCGCGGCGAGCCGGGGGGGCGGGAGCGGCGCCTCCCCCGCGGGGAGGAGCGAGCCCGGGGCCGAACAAAACGGCGCGGGGCCCCGGAAGTACGCTGGCATTTCATTTCCGGCGCGGAGCTTAGCAACAGATCTACCGGCCCCACAGAGCCGGCAGAGGCCAGCCGAAACCCCAAAACAAAAGATACGGAACCAGCACAGCTTAAAACAAAACCAAATAGAGTTCTAAGCCGCACCGAAAAGCGGTCACAATACCCCTTAGAGCTGCG